TCAAGCACTGTCTCTTGAGACCACGACCTTTTAGACAGTTGAGCTCTACAGTTCCTTTGTTATGATAAGAACTGAAGAGTTCAGAGGTATGAAATGGAAGGACAAAATATTTGATTAAGAGACAATCTGCACGAGGTAAACAACTGGGGGGATTACTTTTCTATTTTAATCATTAAAGCAGAAAAAATAAGTGGAAATTGTTTTTTAGTCTCACCATTATGGAACTGTAAAGCACAGCTTGTTTTTCAGTTTGCCAAGGAGAGTAACAGCTGGCTAATTAAGTGAACCTAATTTAAACTAATGATGTAGATCCTCAAGATAATGCACTAATGGCTGGCTGAGACTGCTGATGATACTTAACTGTACTCCTGAGGTGTTGGAAGCCACAGCTTCATCTAGGCAGAATTTGTTTTTCCTTTTGAAAATGGCAAATGAAGCCAGGTTGCCCATTGTCTCATTTAAAATCAGAGAGATAACCCTTGAAAAAGGTCATTCATATTTGATAACATTTTTCTGCTGCAGGCTAGAAGACAAGTTGTTTAAAATAATCCTTGGGATGTTGGATAGCTAATTTGTTCAGGTGTGTCATATTTCCATTTTGCTTCCCCAGACAAAAGGTCTGATCCATATGTGTTCTGCTGAATGAGTGCTAGCTACGTTCAGGGTCTGGGCTGTGGCTCTGCCAGAAAGAGGAGGACGAATTGTCCTTTGTAGTCAAGCACAGGTAATGCAGCTTCCAAGAGAGGAGCCAGCAGTAGGAAAGAGCTGAATGTCTTGGAAGCAGGCTTCCACAGCTGTTTCTAGCTAGCCAGGCTGATCAGACAGCAGCACGGTGTGGATCGAATGATGAGGAGCTATGTTTGCTTCAGCATGCCTCTAAGTCATCCCAGCTAATGGTGTGCTGCTAGGCAGCACTGCACAATTGCAGGTGACAGTGCCTGCTTTCAAAAATCTACAAATGAAAGCAAATACTTCTCTTAACTTTATAATGACAATTATCTGGCTAAATCAAAGAGTCTACATATATCTCTCTAAAGATGGACCATCCACGTTTTCTATGCATTTCAATTCAGTCTGCTCTAGAATCTTCTTTAAGTACTTATTTTGATAAATATAGTTGTCATACAAATAAATCATTGTCAAATCTAGTTGTTACATATATGCACCTGTACACATATCTTTTAGATTAACTTTCATTAGTAGACAGGAATAAATATAACATACATAATAGTACTTCAGAGAAAACACCATAATAACCAAAACCAAATCAACATTATTTTTACACAGAAAACAGGACAGTTACACAATTTATAGCCCATTCAAATATGTTTTTAGTTGTCTTTATTTTTTTTGCATGTTTGCAGAACTTGTATTAGGGTGCTGCTCACTTTCAAAATATGAAGTTTTCTCTACATTTGTTCCTACCAGAGCATGCATTTTTGAAAACTTGATTTTACAGAGCAGATTGGTGATTTCTTCTTTAAGGTACAGACTAGAAATAGTTAAAATGTAAATAATATGCTCTGTATTAATATGACACTTAGAGAAAAGACAGTCTAGTAATTAAAATGCTCTCATTTATGAACAGCTTAGTATCTATTTTCCAAAAATCAATTACATTTGGATTTTTTTTTTCTGTATTACGCAGTACTGTAAATAATGAAAACAGATCTGACAGAGAAATTAAACTTCCTTCCTTGTTTCCTGTTTGTATGACTGCTTGAGTACATGCATATGATACGAGTAGAGCAATATTTAATGGTTATAAAAATTCTTGCTGATTGCAAAAAGCAAAACCCAAAATAAATGCTTGTTGTTAAAAGATAAGGAAGACAGTCATGCTTGTTGTAAGAAATGCTGAACAAAGTCTCTTGTGACTTGTCATTAAATTCCAAATTAACCTGACTTCAGTTCTAAAAGCCGTCTGTGAATCAACAGTGGTTTTAATTTTCATAGCCTTATACTATGTGTAAAAGATTGTATGGGTTTTGTGCTTTCATGATTTGTTTCTTTTGCAACTACTTGTCTTTTTTTTTTTTTAAGTCTATTTTGAATATCTACATGGATAAGCTGGACACAGAGCAAGTCCCATAATACTTTTCCCATGTATTGGGCTAAGTGTATCCTAGGAAATAATTTTCAGGTCAGTAACAGGAGAAATTCCGCTCAGGCGCCCAAAAGTGACAGTAACACATTTGGTTTAATTTACTTAACTGGTTCATCTCTTATCTCTTGCCATATTGTCTTACCAAATGTCTGTGTCAAGTATGGTGAAATGGAAATCACCAATCTGGAAAGATAATTTGTAATTAAATCTAAACATCCTAGACATATCAAACCTGAGACTTTCATTCCTGCAAAAGGTTTCCACAGATGGGATAAGTTCCCGATCCAGACATTATTAAAGTAAAGGCAATGCTATTCTATCCCTCAATTTTTTATTTTTTTTTTTTTTTTTCACCAGACTAGCATGAATGGTTGTGGAGTATCCAGGTTTAGCTCAATATATTTGTTAAGGAGCACAGACTTAGCGCACAAAGCTCTGTGTAACACCAAGGCATCCTGAGTGTCTGTTTTTCATCTCATTACAGAATATTTATGTGATATAACAGTAAACTATTCAACTCCACACAAAAGCTGGAGAATCATTTTCCATATCTCTGGGGGAAGGGGTGCACTTTTAATTAGTGTTAATTTAATGAATTTTACTTTTTATTTAATGTATATCATTGTTGTAAGTATCTCTAAACATTCAGTTAATTGTAAAGTACTTAGTAAAAAAATAACTAATATAAGCGAAGGTAAATTAGAAGAGTCTACCAATCAAACTATTCCATAAAACCTAAGTTTAAAAGAAGCTCCAACCTCTCTAATATTTTTCAGTGAGCTAAAAAGGCATAATATAATAGGCTCTTGCCACTGAAGTCTAAATGCTAATAAATGCAATTAAATTGGTATTTCATCCATCATCTGTAGGAAAGGAAGATGAAATATGAATGTCAGCCAGGGAAACCAGTGCCAGAGATTCCAGTCCTTCAAATCTGTGGACTGCAGAAAGACTACGGGTTTTTTGTCTCTTTTCCTGTAGAAATATACCAAATTGGCTGTAAAATAAGTCTTGTTTTCAGAAAACAAAAATTAATAATCTACTCAGTTCACCTCTATTTGTTAGGGTCAATTTAACTAAAAAAAGGAAAACAAAAAAAAAATGAATGACTTTTTGCTATTAACTTTTTAAATAAAACTTTCCATAATCAGACCCTGTCACCATTTGGATAGGTCAGGTTTTGAGGAAGCTATGTCTACTGAGCCAGCTGACATAGAATACGGAAAGCAGAAGGTGCAGATGTTTAAATAAAGCAAAATTATTAAAACTAAAATCATTTGTCAAGTTAATGTAATTTTTAAATTGCAATTTTGCTATGTATTTACAAATCTTACATTAATATGCATACTACATATGTATAGTAATATAACAGAATCATAGAATAATTTGGGGTGGAAGGGACCTTCAAAGGTCATCTAGTCTAATCCCCCTGCAGTGATCAGGGACATCTTCAACCAGATCAGGTTGCTCTGAGCCCCACCCAACCTCAACTTGAATGTTTCCAGGGATGGGTCTTCTACCACCTCTCTGAGCAACCTGTTCCCACCAGTATTTCACCACCCTCACTGTAAAAACTTTCTTCGTTCTATCTAGTCAAAATCTACTCTTTTTTAGTTTAAAAACATTACCCCTTGTCCTATCACAACAGGCCCTATTAAAAATGCTGCCTCCATCTTTCTCATAAGCCCCCTTTAAGTACTGAAAGGTCACAATAAGGTCTCCCTGGAGCCTAAGATAAAATACGTAATCTATATATTAAAGATTTTCATTCATTTATCAGTGAAAAGGGCAAAAGGATGAAGAAAAGCTCTATTTAAATATTTTATTAACAATTTAGATTAGATTTCTAAATTAAAATACAGACATTAACTTAAAAATTAGAAATAAATACCTGTACAACTTTCTGAGACTGTACATCAACAATAAGAACTCTGTCAAGTGTGGGCTGAGTCACATAAATGAATTTGTCTTTTACATTAACAGCAGTTGCCCATATACACCGCTGAACAGGCTCTCCATCCGCTTTGGGACAAACTTCATCCTACAATTCAATAGATCAGGGAAAGTGTAAGAATCAGTCAACAATGCAATGGAAAGACAAGTAATACTCCTTCTGTTTTAGCTGTAAAATAAAATCTCGGAAAATTTAGGGAAGGAAAAAGGACAAGCGAAAGTATGACAGACTAATGTTAGCCAAACTGCATGTTGCAAGTACCACACAACTCACAAGCACTTTAGTGTAAACCATACACTAGCTTTTTTTGTTGTTTTCTAGGAATTCAGGCAGTTAACACTGGTGTCCTGAGAAAGAAACAATAAAACATGCAGAAATAAAGTGAGCAAGAGCCTGGAGACCTTAAAAACAGAAAAACAAATTAGATACATGATGTTCATTACTGTGCAGTAGCTATCAGCTTCCCCGTCTGCACCATCACAGTATCTTGCAAAGGAAGGCAGTTATAGACACAGCTTACACTTACATCTGAGAACACAGCAGTAAGGCAAGCAAATACTAAAATGGGAAGATGATAATATGTAAATGGAGAGGAAGAGGAGATGTGGTGCAAGTTGTCATATGGTATAGGGGCAAAGAAGCAGCAGCATTTAGAGGGATCTGGTTTTTTGGTCACATGGAGTGCTGATACGTTGCTTCAAAAGTCAAGAAGGTTGGCTACTTCTGCCATAAGACATTCTGATGTCTCACTTGTGTTAAACCCAAGTCAAACAGCTTCTTACTATCATTCCCTACCCCTCTGTCCATCCATCCCTGCAAAAGGATGAATTTGAAACAAAAACAAAAAAACAAAATTCCTGTTGAATTTAGTGAATTCATTTTTCATAACACATATATTTATAACTATGTACTCACTCAGCTACCTATAGTTTACATGCTCTTATTAATATTTTTATATAAACATATTCCCACTCATCATATATACATTTATGTTTCTATCTATTTTTAATTATTTACTCCCAGTGAAATCTTGCTTTTATAAAAATTGGTAAATATTTGGTCAATGCATTACCATATGTGGAAATTCCCATTATGAGATAGCATCATTTTTTCCTATAATGGACATCAAATTTATTTAAAAACAGGGACCTGAAAAATATTCTGCTTGGAGATGTACAGCATGTGTCAAGCTTTTTTGTGTTCCTGACCTATTCTCTTTTCCCTCTTAATTTTTCTTCCCTTCATCACAAGGGGCAATTTCACCCAATCATAAGTATTATTTCTTTTTAGCAATTATCTGCTCCTTTTTCCTAATTTAGAATGCTCTATCTGATACATCATAACCGGTCGCTGTGAAAATAATTATGATATGTCAGCAGACAATGACTTCAGTGTAGAATGAAGGAAAAGATTTGATGAGATCCTAAACAAGAATTCTTTTTCTAAGCATTGGACTCCTAAAAAGAAGGGGAAATATAATGTTATAAAACAACATATCTGGCACTAAACAATGCCTTGCAAAAAGGAGATACATTTCAACACTAGCTTTTCTATACCATCACGCTTCTTTGCCTGCTGTGTTTCTGTACGTTTGAGAAAATACACTCAATCTTTATGTCAAAATAAGAAATGAATCAATTTACAGCTCCAACAGAGGGAGTTTATTTACAGGAGGCCAAAAGACACTGCTTGGTCCTACGTGGTTTTTAAACCTCAGCAAGGGAAAGTTTTTCAGAAATCACATTGATAAGGAAAGGTTACAAAACTCAGATACCATGGGATGTCACATAATCAGGAACTTCAGCAGAACTGAAGTAAAAAGAGTAAGATTTATTTTGCACTGCTAAAAAGCCATGTACTTTGAAGGGAGAAGTTGTTTTAAATCTGTTTTTTAAAGAATGATGGACATGGTGACAAATGTGACTTAATTCTTAAATGTGTCTAAAAGCTTTTCACAGTATAAAGTGAAGTGTCAACATAAACAAGAATGTCTCTAACATGATGTGCAATCATTAGATCAATGATCTACCGTCATTTGCCTTCTGTGCAATTGTCACTTTAATTGGAAGGTTCTTTCACTGATCTCAAATTATTTTTTATATTTATTCTAAATACACCTTGTCATAATTCCATGTTTTATCTAAGCAGATAACTACTTTTAGACTGTTCTACACAGTCCTCTTTCTTTCTCTGAGAACACCTTCTTCAAATAATGCATCAGTAAATGCTCATAACAACTCTATACTGTGTCATTTTTTTCAGTCATGTCTCTCACGGACTCACCTTAGTCTACGCAGTTTATGGTGCTGCAAATTCTACAAGGACACGTTTAGTTTATTACTCTCACATGGCATCATATAGATTAGTGTAAATTATTATAATAATCATACCTCCCATTGTGGGAAGTATAGAAGAACATGAAATGATGTAAGTTAAGCACTTATAACTATACCCAGAGTTAAGCCACCTCCTTAAACATTTTCCTTAATCTGTGCCTAAAATACTGACTGAAGTATATTTCTAAATACTATTTCAATGTAAAAGCAACATAAATATAGGTTTTTAATATATTTAGATAGATGTACACATACACATATATTTTTAAATTAGAAACTACAGGGTATGATTCTTATTATCTATATAACTAATAAAACTTGTTCCTTGTGTTCCGCTTTAAATAAAGCAAGTAGAAAACAAGACACTTTCTCAGAACTAAAGTAAAAAATATTAAGTAAAAAATAAATCTACATATACAAATGCAGTTTACTGGTCCCACAATATTGTTTATGTTGTCATAAATTTCTATAATCCAATGTCAACTCTCACTTTGCCCCAAAACCTGAAAAATTGAAACAAAAGCAAAAAAATGTGTTTCTCCAAAGTAACACTGAGAATTATGCACCAAAATTCTCATATCCAAAATAGAGTTCCCCAATATTAATCAGTTTATGCAGCTGTTTCTCTAGTTATTCAAACTTATTCAAATTTATCTGCCCCAGAAATATCTCTAATCAATGGAACTGAAATCTTGCTTTTGAAAAGTTAACATTTATCTGATTAGACAGTTTGTATTTCTTTTACATCACAGGCACTAATTCTGCAGCTCTATATTAATTTCCCCAGTGGCTGGGTGACTGGTTAAAATAATTTCTCCTTAAAATATAAAACCATCATTTTATTCTAATTAAAATGTGAGCAATTTACTTTTTCCCTAATTTATTTCCATAAAAAAGCTAACATCTGATATGAAATAATTTATTTTATTGTTTTTTCCCCCAGACATTTAATTGGAAAATTACTTGCTCTGTAAGAAGTTGGCAGATGGAGGAAAATAAATCCTTAAAAAAGTTTTTCAAGGTACTCTGGGGCAAGAAATTCTCAAGAGAAAACATGTACTTGTAAATTGATATATGCAAATTCTATATTTATAAACTTACACTTAATGCAAGGGTCATCAGTGTTTTTACAGGATTTTAATCAAGCTCTTTAAGCAGTATTATGAAATGTCTGTGCTATGACTGTCTAAGAGTAAGGTGACATCAACAGGGTACAACAGTGTATATATTCAGACATGAATTTATAAAGAATGGATCATATCACCTATTTATATATATGTATATATTATTTATAAAAGTTATATATTTATACATATATCACTTAATGATATATCACCTATTCTATATTAAGTTACTCTTTAGTTGACATTCTGTAGTAAAAATCTGACAGTGGATGCTTTTCACATATTTTTCAACAAAGGTTAACAATCTTTCATTTACTACACTTACTGTTCTGTAAGAGTGTAAACCAAAGCAATTTCTGTGGACTAGCAAGTGTGTTTCAAGTTCATTCCCTGTGGAAACCGTGCTCTGTCATTAATTATTTTGAAATTAACTACTTTGCTCTCACCTCCATCACATATTCAACTTGTGAGATGGTTTAGTTCCCTGAAATATGGCCACTGTGTGCCAGTTCGTGTAATAAAGAGGAAATCAGGATTATGTTGAAACCAAAAGGATTTTTCTGTTGGTTTCAACAAAGGCATATCTTTAAATTGCTTCTTTCCCCACCCCACAGCCTCCTGAAATAATTATTCCAATGAATATTGGGAAGGGAAAATAAAACCACTTTTGCATAAGAATTAGAATTTAAAGGCTTTGGATAATATTAATTTGCAGAAGATAACTAGAGGTTGCATGTTAGTGAGGAAAATGTCCCAAGCACTCCAGAATAATGAGACATTTATCAGCAAAAAGGCTCTACTCAGACTATGGTTAAGAATCTATTTGACAACAGGTTAAACAAACAGCTGTCAAGGCTCATATAACTAAAAAATAACCTGCATCAGGAAACAGAAATAAGTGTATTTCTGTCCCTATGTATCTATAATTGTCACTATCAGCTTAATAAAAGTCCACTTTCATTTTATATTAATTTAGAAGATTCAAGTAATTTAGGAGATTCTGGGAAGGAGAGGAAGAAACTTTTTATTCCTGTGAGCCATGACAATCCAGTAAAGCACTAAATATTTTGCATCACTTTAAACACAATGAAAGTCTAATTGATTCCCATGTTAGACAAACACTAAAGTGCTTTGCTGTATTGACACTCTGTTGCATAAGAGGCAATTAAACATTTAGATAAGGGTTCTCATGTGTATAGTTATTGAGAAATTGTATTTACCTTTAACAAAATTGATGTACCTAAATATGTACCTGTGTAACTACTGCAACACCTGTTCACAATACAATGCAATGCATGTAGAAACATCCAACTTCATTCTTTTACAGGAGCTCAGCTAAGGGTAATTTATTTTGTTTGCAGGCAAACAGGAAACCTGGGGAGGAACACTGCAGTATCATGTGTAACATCCAGACATTTTCTGTAACACTTTAGTACCTAAACTGCACTGCAGAATTTAGAAATGTTCCTACAATTTACCAAATGTTTGTCAGTGAAATAGATCTACTGAGGTTTACTTACCACTTGAACAGCTAATTCAGAAGAGTATAAGGGAACTGTAAAGGTTTAAGCAAATTTATATATTCCTTTATGTATATGTTAAGAGATAAATGACAGAGATTTTATTAGCAATAGCTGCCGTAGATGGTAACTGTAAAGCCACCTCAAAACACACAGTATATCAATATCTCTGATTAGTAAAGTTGTGTGACAGAGTCAAAGAGAATTACTAATGAGTAATTTATGACATACATTCTTACCACGAAACATGCTGAACTTGATCCTGGAACAAAAATGGGTTATTTTACTATTTTTATGTAGAGAGAATGGATTTTCAAAATAGGCTTGAGGAAGATATGATATTTTTCAAAGGAGGAAATAGTTGTCTAAAGCTTCATAGCCAATGAGTTTTTTTCCAGAATATACTACTGTTATCACAGTATTAGCAGTAGATGCAGGGAAATCTTTTAAACTCATGTTTCATCCTTCTTCTAGGAAGAAAGTAATATTAAAGGGCTTTTTAATTTATTTATCTTTTTTTACTGAAAACTATTTCTCAATTGTTTTGGGGTTTTTTTTGGTTTTGTTTTTTTTTTTTTTTTTTGGAATGCAGAGTGAACAATGATGTTACTATGAATAGGAAAACATAAGGATATATTTTCCAAATATTTCTGATTTCTCTTGCAAAAATAAAGATTTATTAGCCACCACATGTGAGGGAAGATATTCAGAGGAACAAATAAAAATAGTGTTGAATTTAATGGGCAAAACGACATACATGTAGATACAAGGCTTAATTTCTGGCTATATATTTACCACACTTACCCACAAATCAAAGACACCCAAAGCAGGACAAGTCTTTACCTACTTTAAAACAAAAGTTAGCAAGTTGCCTACTTTCCTGGTCTCTTTTTTCTCTTTTTTTTTTCTTTTTTTCCCTAGAGGGGAAGGACATTATTATGCTACTTTAGGTTTGTAAGCTACAAAAATGAAATAAATTTGACTTATCCATCCTGATTATTACCACATTTCAATAAAAATACATTTAAAATCTAGGCTGCACTTTAGACCAATAAAATTTTAACAGACTTCTTAAATAATCAGCTTTTGAATTAAACAGCCATAAAAAAGCTCTTTGGCTTATTTTTGGCTGTGTCAACCTAATTTCACTTAAGCAGCACAAATCAAGGTATGATTAGCTGTTCAAAGCATAATTATTCACACTAAAATAAATCTTGCTGCTGAGTACAGTGGCCTTTGACATCAGTAATGATAATTGAAGAGGCAAATTCCATTGAGACAGTTCTGTTATTTCAGTGTGCTTTAGGTATTAGAGAAAAAACCCAAAGTGTATAGGTCATGGGTTATTATGTATTTCAAGGTCACTCATTCAAATCCAAATAATGAAAAAAAAAAGTTATTATTTTTGAAAGGTGACATCATATGGAACAAGTCTTAACATAGTGATTAGTACCAAGTGTTTCTGTGAGAAAATGCATCATGTCAGACAACAATTTGATTACCAGTAAAGGAAAAACAACAAAAGAACAAATGGAAGTGGAGAACACACTACTGTTTTTATGTACACTACACATGGAAACTGCTCCATAAATGCAAATAATTTGGTGAAATCAGCTATAACTATCTTAACAATAAAGTTATTGAAACTACTTATATGACTTGTAAGTTGGAGTCAAATCATCAATTCTCCAACTTCAGTGGAACTGTAAGAGTGTCTATCAGGATAGGGATTTGCCTCATGATAGCTGACAGTTTAACAGATTACAAACATCCAGTGGAGAAAAAGAAACCATTAAAAATAATAACTTTAGATTTTATATTTAATAAAGAGAGAATAAATCCCTGAATCACAGGCATGGACTTAACTGATGGACTTAACTGGGGGGGGAAGAGGGGGGAACACCACCAACAACCAAACAAGAAATAAAGAGTAGAAAGCTGTTAAAGGAAAGGACTGGGAAAATAGAAAGACAGGCAAAGAAAATAAAGGGTTTCAAAAGTATACAGGGAATACTCAATGTAAAAACGGGATTGAAACTTTGAATGTAATCAAGGAAAGTGCAGGAAATTTTGAGCCCACCATTATAAGCTACTTATTAATTGAGAAGATATGTCTGAATTTATTAAACAGAAAACACTAAACTAGCAATAATAATTTCTTATTTAAAGGAAACTGTAACTGAGAAAGCACTACAAATAAATTTTAAAAAATAACTTGCCTGAAAACCGAGGAGTTTTTCACTAGGCTTAATATGTCTCTGAAATTCACATTCCACTGGTTGTATTACTTTGATGCCATCTTCATAAAAAACATAAAACATGTTCCCAATTCCCAGACCTTAGGAACAAAAACACATTGAAATGTAGAAAATTAAATAATGACAAAAAAGAAAATCCTTGTCTTGAGCTAAAAACTTCATCACATTTTTTGTATGAGATCAATTTGTTAATGCATATAGTGCTAATACAGCTATTCCTATGGGATCTTTTGTTGTAAAATTAAAACAAGACTGTTATGTTATTCAGAATTAATTTCACATAGTTTTCTCCATTGGCAAGACAGTGTCTTTAAAAATACAGATACAGAAATACGGGGTTTGACAGCTGCAGTAAGGAAAAAGATCTTGTGAAATCATCTACATTAAAATCAATTTAATATAAATTCTCCATGTATTTTTATTTTTCTTTTTCTGAGGTATGGAAGTGTTAAAGTAATACAGTATAACACTGAAAGAGAAGTTCTGAGTCTTGGTTATAAACCCTTATTTGTCATTTCTTTCAGTCAGAAAAGGAAATATTCTCTATAGTATTTTATTGGAAAGCCAGAGTTGGGCAGATATTCATTCCAAGTTTGAAGGGCCAAAAATGTTTACAGAACTATTCAACCCTTCTACCACAACGTTGCTGAATGTGAGGCATGATGTAATGTTTTGTGGAGAAGGTGGGAACCAGACCTGTAGCATGAAGTCTCACAATATCCGTAGTCATGCTCATGGTCACAAAAAAATGATATTATCCTTAGTTTACCACGTGCCAGTTAAGACAACAGTTGTTGATTTGCTATGTGGATGTTATGGTGGAAGATCAGTTCATATTTGTAAAATTATATTAAGAAAATCACAGTACTCATAAAATTACCATTATGACCAAACGCCAGGAGCTAAACTGTGGGCTACAATGATGAAAATGTATATGTATCCTGGGTACATGGCCTAAGCTTCCCCTTGACATAACAATATTTGGTATAGGAACACAGGGGAATAAAACCCAGGAAAAATAAAACTGAATCTGAAATTCTGCTTGTCCTAAATTCTGAAGGAAATTGTATGTAACAGAGAGAGAATACATCTTAGTATCAAATAAAATGAGAACATTAAGGGTGGGAGAGAAGTGCAGTTTTGTGTACAGAATTACGTATATACACACATACATAGAAGTTCACAGTCCTCATTATGAATCACATAGGTAATACAGTCATTTAAAAGGCAGTAATATGCACAAGGTTGTCAGGCCATGCCCAGAACAAGCAAGTTGAATTATCTTTGAGAAATTTTGTGGAATTTCCTACTTCTGGCCAAGTTTTCCTAAAAAGAATGGTCAGTCTCCAAGCAGGGTTTTCCCCTTTTTATATCAAATCTATCTATCAATACAAAAGTGGGAGAGGAATTTGTCTATGCTGCATTTGGTGTAGCACAGAAGTAGGGTCAGGTTCAGGGAAAACTTCTCAATCATGTCTATTATGAGCACAGCATGCACTAAGGGCAATATGCCCACTCTGGCTAATGGGATACTTTTGTACACCTTTGCAGGTAAATCATACAGCCTATGTAAGACAGTATTTCAAGCTTTCTTTAAAAAATGTCTTTAATTGAACCCTGTAAAAACAGCTGGAATTTGTAGATAAGCTTGACTGAGGTTAGGCTGCCCCTACCAGCAAACATGGTGTAGACATTTATAGCTGAGTAACTGGCTTACTGTATCTTGGTGATAAATAAATATGCGGAGCTGTCTGGGAACAAAGCAGGGTTTTCTTTTCTCACTGGTCTTATTGACTAAATTATATTATAGTTATTGGCAAGATAAGTAATAACAGAATGTGAGGAAGTAAATCAGCTGATAGCCCCAAGTGATACAGACATTTGATAAACAGACTCCTAAAACTTCTTCCTCAGTTGCCAATCTGCCAAGGCAGGCTTCAGATAATATTCAAGCACAGTAACCCAGCCCAGACTCTTAAAGCTTTATTTCCAATGTTTGGATAGTAAAATTCACCAAACTGCTCTTCAAAATCAGTGAAGGAGAGACAGTAAGAAATGTCCTTCTCCCATTTCAATACTGAGTTAGGGAAGTCAGTTCATACAAGGTGCCTTTACCTGTGGATCCAGTGAAATGGTCCCCACTTCCAAGTTATTATGAACCCAACACTCCTCCTTTGAGTATGTGTCTACAAATATCTGTACAAAAGTCTAATTGTACAAGTACCTAATCACTTAGGCAAGCCACCTCTTCACAACTAGATCAGCTATTCCTCTAAAGACATCTGACCTAATTTTGCAACTCTCCCCGCACGAAACCAGCACATTTATAATATATTGCCAGAAAAAAATTTGCCAACAACAAAAAATGCGAATATATTTGCTTCATTTAGACTGAATCTATATTTAAAACTGGCTAACATGGATTTGAAAAAAAATGGTGGTGGTTTTGTTTGGTTTTGCATATAGATTAATATATAGATATATTTATGTGTGTATATATTGTATTATTATTATAATGCAATTTAATGTACCTTCAAAATCCTTTCAGATTTTCTGACACATACTCTTTTTACACTTATATAAGCAAGCATTTGTGATAAGACTTTTGTATACTCCATATACAAATACGCATTACAGGCACTAAAGTCTATCTGTTCACAATCTTAATCGTCCTACTGATCACCCATCCCTCCCTTCCTATCTGTTAATACTTAGAAAACAGAAAATGACAGAGTATGCATGGCCCAGAAAAGTTAGTGATGATGCTTACTGGCATCCTCAGGGTATTGCTCTCATAAATGTATTCTGACATTGCAGCCAGTAATATTTGTTGGAAACACAATGATTGGCCAATAAGAAAAACAGAAGAGATGGAGAAAAAATGCTGTAGAAGATGATATTGTCACTTCACATTCTCGAACTCTACTATAAATTGCTTTTTGGTTAGTTTCACAATAGTCACAGAGAAATTTGTACCTCTTTACCATAAGCACTCTGGTAAGCTACTATTTTTATTTGGTCTTGTCACAGTATTTAAGTTTTCCAAAGTGCTTTCTAACCACTAAAAGCAACACAGGACTTAACTTGAAAAGACAATCCTCTAAAAAATCAAGGAGGTGCCAATCATGTTTTCAGTTTTATTCAAGATAAAATACAAGCGATACCTTCCCAATAAGCAGTGAGAATACCATACGTTTGAAAACTTTGGTGTTAGAATCTTGTTGTGCATCAGTTTCACTATTAACATTGCAATTGTATGAAACTCTGAATGTGTCATTTGTACCCTGCAAGGCCAACAGAGCAGGAGGATCACAGCTGAGCTCCACTATAATCAGGGAACTGATCGCTTATACCAGCTGAGTAATCAGTAAAACAAGAATATACAAAATAAAACTAGTTCAGATTTTTAAATACATTGGGAAATGCCAAAGGCTACTATGTAATTAGGCAAATGAAATATCAAATTTTTGAATCTTTAAATTGATTTAAAATAAATATTTAAGAAACATGCAGAAATATCATTTGCAGCATGAATTCATAGCAAAGCCTGATCCACTTACAGTATTGTCAATCTTCATATGGAAATAATTGAAATATTTCTTATTCCTGAAATACATTAATTCCCAAATTGCAAATTTAAATTAAGAACAGGCTACTTAGAGCAACAAAATTAGAGCTCATGACAACACTTTGATTATGACATTTTTCTACAATATGCTTTATGAGAGTATCTCATACATACGAAAATTAATACCTATCTTTGTCAGTAAAACATACTTTACATGCTTTCAATGTTATTAACATCTGATATTGTCTGTATTTAAATTTATCCTTCAGCTGGTCACAAACCTCTATTCCCCCTCCCAACATTTTCAAACCCTTCCTGAGTATAAGAAGAAAATGCTTTGTCTCATTAAGCAACAACAGGAACCTCAATTTTAATTATATTGTTTAAGATTACAATTTTGTTAAATAAGAATGATTCATACAAGAAGATCAATCTCAACAGCATGTAGGCTGATTAGTTGTAAGTTTTATCATGTCAGCAAACAAACAAAAGTTAAAGGTCTCCATTTTAAATCTGAGCTTCTTGTATTCCTTTGAGTGATTGTCTGAAATTTTTTAACAGCCTATTTCCTTCTCTCCCCAAAAGGAAAAGCATGAGCATTTAAAATATCATTTTCCACTATATTTTTTCTTTAAATCAAATCCCTCAAATGTTGCAAGGGTGAAGGTAATTACTGAAACAGTAGAGTATAAAAAAAAAAAAAAAAAAAAGAACACACAAAAGGAACACTAGATGAGCACTTCATAGTAATATAGAAAATATGAAAAAATACATCTGTATTAGTACCTTGCTCTCGCCACAATATGTTTGCAACTGCAGCATGTAAGAGAGAGAGAACAGAAAATACAAATGAACAAGAAAAAAAACCCTATTCAATGATATATCAATTCTGAAATAATTCTGATGCTTTAACCTCTGATTCACTAAAATACTTCTATAAGTAAATCAATGGAAACAGTGAATTAACAATAAGATTAAATAAAGTTCTCTACATGACATGACAAAATTGTGATTAGCCATCATAATTACTGGGGTTGGGGTAAACCACATTACCACTCATTACACTCTCCTCCCCAAACTAACTCCACTAGCATTCATCAATACTGTTTTTCATAATTAATTACAAAAAGCATATGGAGTTTGCATACACATAAATTATGTAGATTATCTGCAGGTGGTGTAATTTTCATAATTTCCTTTAAGCACTGGACTTTGAAGAGATATCTTTTAAGACATAGTTATGAGACAAACATGCAAAATCAAAATGCATACAAGATAATTTTCTGTATTGCTGTAACACAGCCATGCTACCAAAGCTGTCATGCTGTATAAAGTTTGCCATTATCTCTAGAAGACCAAGGTGGGAACTATAAGATGGCATTGTAACCAACTGTTTAAGTTGTTTTTTTTCCAAGAAAACATAAGTTATATTTGTCCATCTGGTTTACAATTGGATTTTAGACCTTTCAGGTAAACAAAAACTAATTAACCTCATATTGCTCTTTCTGCCTGGGGAGAAAAAAAAAAAAGAAAGCAAATATAATTTTGCAAATTTTAAATATTTAGAGCTCAGCATGTCATGGAATAAGTTGTTTAAAAAACCCTCACTGAAAACCAAAGTGGTTTGTAAAATAATGATCTTAAGAAACAGGGAAAAAAAAAAAAGGAAAAAGGAAAGGAATACAACACAGAGAACACATATATGTCACATACAGACATAATAAAATTCCAATGTTCACTGAAACACAGTGTTGCAAAAGCGAAAAACATTCATGTGCTTTTTAAAAAAATGGAAAAAGTAATGGAAGACACTTTATTAAAAATGATGTTAGTACAGAAAAGTCCCTCAACTGTTGACTGCTCAAGGTTAAGTAGACACAGGAACAACTATCACTCCAGAAAGGTCCCGGATACTAAGATTTTCCCATGCATCTTTTATCTGATGCTGCTGAAGAAAGGACCAATATGGGATTTTTGCTTCATACAGTGCAGCATTTATTTCATTCTTGAGCTCTGAAAGAATATACAGAGCCCCAGATATGCAGAAGGGTCCTTGGAAAAAGTGTTAATCTACTTTCTGATAAGCTTAGGATAACAGAGATACTGGGCTTTTGTTTTTTTTTTCTCTCCCTCTCCTTTACTATTTTTTGTTTCCTGATTTTTTTTTATTTTTTTTTTCACAAATTCATTCAACAGAGCTACCTCATTATATGACCTTGGACACAGTATTTAAACTGTGTCATTCAGTTATCCCTTGAAATGAAGGTGAAGATTACTTTTTACCTTAAGTACTTTGAAGTGTGCAAATGAGAGATCCACATATAAGTAGAAAGAATCAGTAATACTGTTGGTGTGAAGTGATACTGTATACTAGAATAAAAAAAAATTCCCCTTTCTCAACACAGACCATCAGTGCAGCTTTCAAATATGTTCAGTCTGTGTTTTATTATCTTTAAATCAGCTTAATTCTCTGGCCTATTATGTGTGCATTATTTTCAAATATCATCCTTGCTTGTCCTTTAATATTTGAACCGTTAGGATCCAATAAATTGCCAGAAGCCAAGATCAATGGAGTGTGTCATTTGTCGCTTAACTCAGGCTGAGTAGTAAAACTTCACATCACAGGGCAGAATTTCTGTTGAACTGCTACTAAGGTCAAAAAGGAGTTAACATGTTTTAATTTCTCAATCATCTGCCTTAAACTTGCACTTCTGATTTCAGGTTGTTACTTTCAGAAGAGATGCACTTTGAAGGAAGTCTTGACCACATTGGCTGAGTATATGTTCTCCAGATATCCAGCTGCTTTGAATGAAACTTCTTGGCGACTAAATTACTAACACCAGTATGATTCTCAGATTTACATCCAATGCTGACAGCACAAAATGGATTTGGTTTACTGTATATTTCAGTGGCAGACATGAACGGAGTATTTAACATGTCCCTCCTAAATAACATTTGGCTGCTTATGTATAAACTATTTCATTATTCTCCTAAACTAGATCATTGAATATAAGTTGCGACCATGAGATGGAATATTAGTTTGATGCTTTATTGACAGCTGTTTTTTAAATAAAGACCTAATGTAATGAGTAGATCATCTGTACTGTAATGACAGAAAGAATGGACTGAAATGTTTAAGAAATCTTGAATTATTTTAGGTTAGAAGAAAAAGGTATTGATTTGTATACAAAGAACATTTAAGATAGAATTATATTCTTATGGCTTTAGAGCTACAGAAAATATTTTTTTTTTTCACTGAAGGATGAAAGCAACTGAAGTTTCCCCATAGATGACTCCATGACCGAAAGGAGAAGAAATTGGGACAATATAGTACTGTCCTTCCCAACAACTAAATATGGCACCTGCTTTGCGAGGCCTATGCAGTTAATTCTTTCTGCATAAAAGCTGAGAACTTCAAAGACGGAACACTAAGGTGCTTAAGTTTGTTTCCCTTTGTCAAAGTGTTAAATCAGTCATTTGTACTTTCATAGACAGGAGGAGGAAAGAAACAGCCCTGTGGTACACCACAGGTGACTGGGCTCTGTGTGGAACTGGTGGCACTGATCACAAACTTTGGGCCTGGCAGTTCAGCCAGTTTTCAGTTCACACCACTGTCTGTGCATCTAGCCTATACTTCTTCAGTTCCCCTTTGAGGGTCTCATGAGAAACAGTGTCCAAAGCACTTCTAAGGACAAAATAAAAACAACATCCACTCCTCCACTTATCAACCCTGCCAGTCACTTGGTTGCAGAAGGCTGTCAGGTTGACCAGGCATTATTTCCTCTTCATAAATCCATGCTGACTGGTCCAAAATACCTTGTCCTTTATGGTCTTGGGAGTAGTTTCCAGGATTATTTGCTCTGTCCTTCCCAGGGATCAAGGTGAGGCTGGTGGGCCTATCATGTCTTTGATTCTCCTTCTTGCACTTTTTGAAGAGCAACGCTGGCTTTCTTCCAGCCTGCAGAAATGTACCCTGATCAAGATGATCCTTCAAAGATTATCAAGAGTGGCCTTGCAATGCCATGGACCAGCTTGCCCAGCATTTGTGGGTTCATCCTATCCAGGCCCTTTGACCTGTGAATGTCCAGCTTGTTTAAATTGTCTCTAATCTGATCCTCTCCACCATAAGTAAGGCTTCCTTGCCAGAGGAAGACTTCTTTCCCAGATTGTCCCACTGGGGCCAGTTTTGCCAGTAAAGACTGAGGAGAAGATGATCTTCAGTAAACTTGGCCCCTTCCATGTCCTTTGTCACCAGATCCTCTGCCCCACTCAGCAGCAGGTCCTTTTTTTTCTCTAGCCTTCATTTTGCTGATGTTGTCTCTAGAGAAGCCTACATTTTGCCCTTCATGTTGCTCACCAGATTCAGCTCCAAGAGGGTTCTGGAACTTCTAATTTTATCCCTGCAAAACTAGACAGTGGCTCTATAGTCAGATTACAGTGCTATGTTTATCTATGTCATCTTATATAGTCTTTTTTTTCTGTAATAAAGCAAATCAATTTCCTCAGGGCAACCTGGAGGATTTTCTTTAAAATTAGTTTTCTCTTCACATTGTGAGGAAAGAACCATGTAATATATGGCACATGAGGTCCTGTAGATTTAGCCATAAAGTTCTATTTTTTATCAGTCTTTTTTCTAGGGGTGACATAGGAGAGAAAACAAAAATAATTACAATTTCCTTTGCAAAAAAAAAAATGTTAAGGGATAAAAACCCTGCTTTAAAAGACTCACTTTTATTAATTTTAAAATTGACAAATCAGTTTGAAGAAAAAAGAGACATTATTTAAGCATGCAATATAAAATCATAAATAACAGCTATCACCTCACTTAATACAGATCAAGAAACCTCACTTATTTTTTTTAACCAATCCTATAACTTCTATCAAGAAAGATGTCCAGTCTTGAGATAAAGATTGTAATGCTGGAGCAAGCACAACGTCTGAAGATGGAAAGTATGCTAAGGAACATGTTGTTTACCTTACTTTTTTGATTAAGCAATAATTAACATCTTCAGCCACATCCTATATTCAATTATTACACATTTATAAACTTTAAGGTGTAAAACTACATAATTACTAATAGATCTCAGTAAAATTTTCTGGTGTAAAACAGAACACCGCCATCTTCTTTTGTGCCCTATTTCTCTGATTTATAAAAAGAAGGGTATTCAGAAAACATACAGTTATCAAATAATATCAGGAGATGTACTCGGGGCCTTGCAGAAGACATTGTATCCAAGGAGTTAGTGACTTTGAGCAGGCTATACGTCTGCTACACTGGGCCTTGTACTCAAGGCTTGAGAAGTATATATGTTAGCATGGGTACTTGCTGCAATGGTATGTGCTGGAATGCCCATAACAACCTGCACTGCACACTGGTGGGTGTTACGACAGAGATAACATTTCAAACTGTCAGAAGATATACAGTTTTGTTTATTACACAAGATAAAAGCCACCACAGTATGGAAAGGAGAGAGAACCTCTCCATGGACAGGATCTGCACAGTGTGTCTTGAGGAAATCCATCAGGAGTTCATCTGATGTCACATGAATGCAGGGTGCCCAGCATCTGAAGGGATGTAAGATTTACTTGCTATTTATATTCCTTTTTTTAGTCTACCTTATTAAAACAGCTCTTTTATTAAACAATTTGTTGTTAGGCCTTTTAAATTTACATCCAAAAAGAACCCTCCATCATACTTCACTCTCCCTCCACCCACACAGTGCAGAAGAAGGGAGAATCCACGTTTTCTTTTTTTTTTTTTTCTTAAGCACACTTACAGCCTCATAAAAATCACTCGTCATAGTCCTTACACA